GACTAAACCATATAAGGACCTCAAGCCACCTTCCCAAAGTCTCCCAGGGGGTGGTGGTGGCTTGTCTGAGGTGTAGGACCCAGAGCCCCCCTCGTGGCCAGTCCAGCGCTCTAACCACTAGACCACACAGTCAGCGTTCAGCATGCACTCAGCAAACCTCAAGCTCCAGGCCTGAAGAAATAGATTTTCCAGAAACAGAGCTCTCTTTGTGAACAATTCAGCAAAAATTCTCTTTCCAGCTGTGACTTGGGATTCGTGTTGCAAACGCTGGTGTTAATTAAAAACATCCACCTTCTACAGTTTCAACAACAAGAGAGGAGTTCCACGCAGGATGTGTTCCCAAGCACTCGTCCCCAAAGCACTTACAAATATGATTTTATTTATGGCATGGGCTGCTGGGGGTTCTGACAGATTATCATCATTCTCAGTTTTCAGTCCCAATGAAAGAGTTGGGGCCATGGAAGTGAATGTGATGGGTCCAAATTTGCACAGAGCAAAATTAGTTTCAGAAGAAGAAACCAGAACACCGTTCATGTCCAAAGCACCAACTAAGATGTTCAACTTTTTTTTGTTTCTTTACTTATTAAAAAAGGGGAGGGGCAGAGAGAGGGAGAGAGGGAATCCCAAGCAGGCCTTGCACTGTTAGTGCCGAGCCCCATGTGTGGCTTGAACTCACGAACTGTGAGATCGTGACCTGAGTTGAAATCAAGAGTCGGATGCTTAACCGACTGAGCCACCTGGGTGCCCCATCTTTGTGTTAATATCAGGAACTTTATCCAGTTGAAATCAAATGTTTATCTGTTGGGTCATTTAAAACTTGTTTCACGTGGCTCTTAGTTCCTTCAGACATGAGCAAAATGCTTTGTGAAAGGCCACGGACATCCAGCTAGGATGACACCATATTATAGACAATAATCGGGGCCTTACTTTATACTTCCCTGTATTCTCTCGTTGTAAGTTTATTAGGAAATCTTTAGCTGAACTAGTCCTGAGATAGTGAGATCAGCGAGACTGAACTGCATTGATTTCTTCCTGTGCTCGTCTCTGGTTGGTGAGTCTGTCCCGCTTTCACACATGCACCAGACAGGAAAGAATCGAGCCAAACCCACATTGTTATGAATGAATTTCTTTGTTTTTAATCTCACACAGTTTAAAATACAATATGAAATCAGGCTACAGTATATAAAAAACTCTCCAGCAAAATGATGTGCCAGCATCAGCTACTAAAATAAACAAACAAAAAACTCCCCCGTAAGAAATTTTTTTTTGCATTTTAAAAAAAAAAAAAAACACATAGACACTTACATCGCTACATCTCTAAGCTACCTCAGTTCTGATTTTTAAAAAGCACCTGCTTTTCCTTTTTTCATCTTGCTTTTAAATTTTCAGCTTTTAAAAAATATAAATTATATGAAAATACAAGTTGGAAAATAGTCAAACACAATATAACATCTTTTTCACCCCTATACTTCTCAGCTTAAAAAAAAAAAGTATTCTTAAAAAAAGTTCAATAACTGAGGCAGTATTCCTGATAGAGATAATTTCATTTTAATATATATACTTTATATATGTATATGTATACATATATTTATGGTTCCTTGAAATTTCTTTGGAATGTAGATATGAGTTCAACACATTTATATAGACCCCAACAGAAAGCAGCATGCACAGCATGACTAGAACAGAGAAGGTATAATTTTCACCACGAAGATTAGGCAGGTTAATGCTTTAAAACCCAGAGTGTTCGTCTCCAAAGTGAGGAAAAGCATATCTGATCTTTGAATGCTACCTCCGATCCCCAAAGCCACAAAACCAGGGCTCTGTGTAGGGAAGTCCCTCCCCTGCATGGAGAAGGAAACAAAAGTGACCCTGAACCCTACAGCCAAAACCAACATGGGTTAAGGCATCTCCAGGAAAATAAGGGTTTCACCAGCTAAACCAGATTTGCCCATCCTTCCTCTGAAGTTAATGTGTTTTTAAAAAGCATAAATGCAACAATTCTGCTACATTTCCAGTGTATAAACCACCCACCACTCTTCCTGGGATGGTCTCTGGCCTCTGGACAGAAGGAGAAAAAGCATCTGGCCAGATCGACAAAGCTGTCTTAACTAGCACACTATCTACAAATACTGAAAACGGCCGACCTCGAGAGAAAGGCATCTTAGCAAACAAGCGGGCTGAGGAGCATTAAGGAGGCACTTTCTTATCTCTTATCTGCTATGGAATGATTGCAGGACTTAGACACACTCACACAAGGGGAGTTTTCAGCACAAATTTAACAGGAAAGGTTGATGCACGGAGAAAGTGATGTTATGCCTGGTTGCGAACAGCAAGCAATGACCGATGTCCCGCCTTGGTTCTACTCTTGCCTGTTCATTACTGAAATGTGGAAAGACTTAACTGAAAAACTCAGGTATTATCTCAGCTGTAGTTTTGCATGTCTGCAAGCACACACACACACATACATGCACACACACACACACACACACACACACACACACACACCTTTGCCAGTGCCCAAGAAAGACCACATGATCTAAGAGAAAACAATGTAGTCCAACAGTTCCGCCTAATACTCCCTGAGCAGCTCCTAAAATATTTCGAGAGCTTCATTAAGGCACCTGCATCCGGAAGAAGATCAAAATACACAGCTGGGCCAATTCTGCTTTTGCTTTCCAAGTGGATGCTCTGATTTATCAGTATGAGGAAACTCATGAATCACAGAGCTAAGTTCCTGATCATTCAGGGTCTGTAAGAGGACCTGGGAGTAAACAATCCACGTTCTCGAAGATATGCCAGCAGGTAGTTAGTACTTCCAGTTTCTCAGCCAGATCCCAAGAAGGGCTAGCCCCTGAGAAACCCACCTAAAATGTTTCTTTGCCTTGCCCACTGGTCCGCGAGAGCTAACTCTCTGTCATCATCCTTTTAAATCAGGTATCTATGGGACGCCTGGGTGGCTCAGTCGGCTAAGCATCCGACTCCGGCTCAGGTCATGATCCTGCCGTTGGTGAGTTCGAGCCTCACGTTGGGCTCTGTGCTGACAGCTCAGAGCCTGGAGCCTCTACAGATTCTGTGTGTGTGTGTGTGTGTGTGTGTGTGTGTGTGTGTGTGTCTCCCCCTCTCTCTGCCCCTCCCCCGCTTGCACTCTGTCTCTATCTCTCTCAAAAATAAATAAACACTTAACAAAATTTTTAAATCAAGCATCTATGGTGGGGGGCCGGGGTTCAACTGTATTAGGCACTTTTCCTCACTGGTTAGATGCTGGTTTCCCGCCCCCCTAAAAAATCCACACATTTTTCAGACCACCCTTCACCACTGCCCCAGGTGATTAAGTTTCTTGTTAAACTTTGGAGGAGCTAAAAACTATAGTTTTTAGTATAGCATATTCGAATCTCACAGACCACCTTATTTTTCCAAGCTCCTTTTCTTATGTTTCCTCTGCCTTCAAGTCGTTTCTCTCTTCTGCAATTATTACCCTTCACTTAACCCTGATCCAAGCACAGGGCTCTCCTAGTGTCTGCACTGTTCACTCTGCATGCACAGCCTCACCTGACGTCTGACTCAACTAGCTCAAACTCTTCAAAGGAAAGCCTTGTACTTCTCTCAAAGACGGCCAAGCCACATTTTTACTCCTATGCAACCCTAGTCTCCACTGTTCCCCAAACTCAGTACGTCTAAATGGCTTTGTCCGACACTCTTCAACTCACGTCACGTCTGCCATTCCTCTTTCACTCACCAATTGGAAAGCTGTACATTTCTCTCTACTGAGTCTTGGGGGGGGGATGCGGGGGGGTAAGCAGTAAGTATGGGATGCCGGGAAAATCAGACATAAAGGAGGAAGTGTAGGGTTTGCAATGACATGCATTCAGGACTTACTTCTTAAGACCTGAGGGGTAATGCCCGTGCACACAGCTTTTCTTCCAAGTTCTGTATGTTACAGGTATAGAACCCATTAAGAACCAAGTCAGTCCTCCTCCTTCGATATCCATTCTATGACTTCAACAGTGCTCCTACATTTACTGGGGTCCAAAACCAGGGCGGCAAAATACATTCAGTTCAAAGACTTAATGCTTCTTAACTCAACGTTAAGCCCAAACCCCGAGAATCCACTAATGACAAGTAAGTAGAGGGGTGTGATCAGTTTTTAAAATACAGATGAAATTCACATGCACAGGTCCCTTGTACCCAAATCAGCATTGTTTTTTTTTTTCCTTCATATAGAAGTCACATGAATCTGGGATCCCCAATCTGAGTGACAGCACTTTGCGTTTCCAGTGGGGTCTATATAAACAGTTTCCTTTCACTGTGACAGAATCCTCAGTCGGCAAATAAAAACAAACTCGCATGAAACCGCAATACTGAGACCACCTTAGAGCTTAAGACGATTGTTTAAGAAAAAAAATACTGGCACAAAATTTAATAAAATAAAATTTTAACACAAAAACAGTTTTGGCCCCTCCCCACTGAAGTCTATCTTTGTTTTGAAAGTAGAGTAAAAGGTAAATAGTCCTTGGTTTTTAGTGCATCCCCCAAACAAAATGTTTTATCCCACTCCCTCTTTTTTGCCCTCCCAGACCTAAAAACAAAAGCAAATAAATTGTCTCTCATGGGTCTCATGACTCCTGACGTGTCAACTTCTTTTGCTAATAGGTCCACCACTCGAGACGCATTGTTTTCACGGATGAGTTTTAAAAGTAATGGGACACATTAGTCTCCTCCCTTAAGCCAGATTCTTCAAGCTTCTTAAGAAGACCCTTCTCTCTGTCCTGAAAATTTGCTCAAGAATTTCTTGTCCCCCCCCACCCCTCAAGTCCTGGCCGTCCTTTTCCAACTGTGCACAATTGATTATAGCTGCAGCCCACTTAGCGCCCACCCCTGAATGTAAAAAAATGAGTTCTGGAAAATTAAAAATAGAATAACAATTAAAAATTAAGAGTCCGACCGACGTGGTTGTTCTTCGAAATGTCTCAGCAGAGGTGCCCCGACCCCTTTGGTGTCCGTCACTCGTCGGCATCGGGCTTGACGTCCAGCATGGCGTGGAGTTCCTCGGGCGTGTACCCGAGGAGGCTCTGCAAATCACACACGAAGCGGTACACATAGCGTTTACCCGCTGTCTTGTGGATGATGTTTTTGTCATAATAGTAGCGGAGGCCGCGGCTCAGTTTCTCGTAATTCATCTTAGGTTTGTTTTTCCTTTTTCCCCATCTCCTGGCCACCTGAAATTAAAGGACGAGAAAGGGGTGAACACCTACAGGATATTCCAAATAGACGTGTTTATATGCCTCCATATGTACTCATGGGGACCCATGACGTTCGAGTAGGACCGATGGAGATTCCTGCGCACCGAAGATCTTTTTTTCTGACCCGTCTCTTCTAAATTCCCACTTTCAAGAGCTGGGCAACAATGGTGATCAAGTTGATTCTTTAAATTAATGAAAATCAACCGACCCTGTATCTCTGTGTGATAGAGTTACCTGATACTGAAAGGAAGAAAAGACAAACAACACTAGAGACTCTCCTTTCCTTATGTTACTGGCAGAGTATCCTTGCTTTGAAAGCGTGAAATTTAACGTGAGCGACTGGAGCAGAACTAAGCTGCCTTTCATCCAAAGGGCACCTGCTTTTCATCCACAGGAAGCCTTTTTCCTGTACTGGGGCACCATTATCTACGGGGGCACCATGTCTCATGTCTGCCGGGACACAGCTATCGTCTCTCTTCTTCAGCATCTTTGATTCTCTCTTGATGTGGGCCCAGAGCAAGCACTCAATATGCACTTGTCGAATAAAATAATGAATGGAATGAATGAACTGTAGTAATCCTCGAACACCTCTTGAATTGTCCGACCCCTTCCAGATTCACAGAGCCACAGGGCCAGAACACATGCTAAGACGTATTTATGAAGGGTCTGCTATGTGCCAGGCACCCCTTGTGCATCGTATCTGTGAGTCCTGGAAAGCAAGTGGGCATTGTGGGTATTTTCTCTATTTTCCAAATGATACCACTAAGGCTCAGGCAGGCTACGTAACTGGCCTGACTGAGGTCACGAAGTACCCAGGGGCAGAGGTGGGACTGGAATCCTAGGACAGGTCATGCAGGCCCACATAACCACTTTCCAGAGTTCACCTTCCTCCCCCTCAACAGGAGTCCTCACAAGTCGATTCCTTCATACCTCATCTGGATCAGAAAGCTTGAATTCCCAGCCATCTCCGGTCCAGCTGATAAAAGACTGACAGGATTTATCAGTGAGTAATTCCAGAAGAAACTGCCACAGCTGGATTGGTCCACTGCCTGGAAACACAAGGCATTGTGAATCATTACACCAGATGCTCAGCACTGCCAGCAATGAATCCCATTTTACGTGTCCCTCTTGCCTCCTCTCCAGTCCATCCAGCCTAGAGAGAATGGAGGCAACATATAGCACAAGTGTTGGAGGAGGTGCTAAGAGTTCAAATGGATTGAAAGGTGAAAAACTTTCTATCAAAAACAAACAAACAAACAAACAAACAAACACAAAAAACCACACATAGTATACCATGGTCTTATCAATCTCATCTTGATTGGCTTAAAGGTCAGTCCATTTTTGTTGCTACACAAACTCTAGAAAGAAAATACTGGATCTATCCTCTGAGATATCCTCAGGCAGCACAATCTTCTCTGCCTTCAAGAACCAAGTCATTATTTTTGCCTTAATTCGTAATAAGGATATTAACTAAGGAATATCTTTGCCAGTTCTAATCTGAAGTCAGAGCTCATAAACACTTCTCTGTATCTGAGAGCTCTTGGCCCCTGATTTGTAAGTGACAAGGATTGCTACCCTGGGGCCATCTAACAAGGACACAGAAGTTAGATATTCTTTAGTCATAAGGTCATAATATTCTCCACCACCATCCTGTTCCTCCAGGCCACTGGCAGGCACCCAAACTAAGAAAAGAGAACATCATTACTTTGTAAGTGATTAACCTGCCACCCATGAAATCCTCACAGGTGAGGTGAGGACTGTCTCAGAAATTCCTCATGGGTTCACTATATTCTAACTTAAATTTTTTTTAATGTTTATTTTTGAAGGGGGGAGAGAGAGAGAGAGAGAGAGAGAGAGAGAGAGAGACAGCATGAGCGGGGGAGGGGCAGACAAGGAGGGAGACACAGAATCCAAAGGGGGCTCCAGGCTCCGAGCTGTCAGCACAGAGCCTGCCACAGGGCTCGAACTCATGAGCTGTGAGATCATGACTTAAGCTGAAGTCGGACGCTTAACCGACTGAGCTACCCAGGTGCCCCATAGTATACTCTAACTTAAACACACACACACACACACACACACCCCTCTTATCTTAGCCATCAACACTGCCAAGATCTTAGTTCTATCAAAAGCCAAGGCATACTCTGATACTCAATTTATCTTACGCTAAAGGACTTCTCCTGATAGATTTCCTTTTAAGATCACTTTCTATTCAGATATGACAATGCTGCCAGTGATTCCTATCTAATTTATGGGTGTAGCCAAAGAAACAGATATGGGTTCAATTGTTTCTGCTGCTTGTTATATGTCTACACTCACAACACCATCTTAGAAGCCATCTGGCAGAGCAGGGCTGGGAAAGACCCAGTCTGTGCAGATGAAGGAAGCCAGGGACACTCTAACTCATACAGAAAAACTTGACTTTCTAAGGCCCTCATCCTTAATCTGAGCTTCAGATTCATCTGATCCAAAGTAAAGTGAGATTCAATAGAAAACAAGCTTTAGGTTCTCTCTGTCAAAAAAGGCAACGCTCTTTATGATCTAGAAGGGTGATCTCTTGTTATGCCTTATACTTCTACAAGGTATGTTCACACGCATCATTTTGCTTACTCCTAAACTCCGTCCCCTGGCTCTCTCTATAGGCGAGGCACAACAGGTCTTACTATTTCCATCCTATTAAGGCAGAGAAAGAAAAATGCTCAAGAAAGCGATGTGACTTTGCTCCAGGGCACAGTGAGAAAATGGTGGTGCGGGGTCTAACGCCCTGGCCTGCAGACTCACTCCAAGTACCAGGGCGACAGCGACTGGCATGGACTGTTATTAAGCAACCAAAGAAAAGGCCACCCCCCCCCACCCCAGTAACGGCCTGCGGGGGGCGAGTCTCAGTCTCCTCAGCACAGCCCAGGCTAAATATGGAAGATGGAACAGCTCTGCCCTATCCTTCCAAGAATGCACCTGGAGCTCTTTAAAACCATCCTGCAAGTAACACCTTATGCAGGTTCTAGAATACAATGACTCAGTGGGCCCTACAAAATAACCGGACGTTCAAAGAAACAGCCCAGAGTGTGACACTGGTAAAGCCTTAGCCTCTCCTGTTTCCCTGTGCTGTTAAAACATCATTTCAGATGCAACTCAGACACATTTGCAACTTTCTTGGGAAGGGAGTTCAAGTTACTGGCTACCACTGCCTGCCTGGGCTCACGGGCTGAGATGTGACATTATATGAGGAATCCGTTGAGAAGCCATCCTGGTGGACAGGCATTAAGTGAACAAACCTCTGTTAAGAAATGCTATGGAATTTCTGGTAGTGAAGAACTTCAGAATCCTTGCAAAAGAACAGATTTCTGGAAGAGGTGCAGAATGGCTCCATACCCAACAGGACACCGCTGTCTTCCTCTTATTTTGAAGAGAGACATAACAAAGGAAAAGTCAACTACTCCAAAGCTAGGCAAATGAGCCCTGGAATCTGCAGCCCTCTCCTGGGCCAGACCCACACAATGTGGACACAAGACAGAGACAGGAGTTGTTTCGAGACCCTGGACAGAAAAAACTACAAGCGAGAGCTGTTAAGCTGTTGCACACCTACTATGCACGATACTACGTTTGCTGCTTTATGCTGATCTCATTTATTCCTTACAATCACTCCAGGGAGTAGATACTATTACCAAATTTGCTTTTACCATTTTTACGACAGGGAAAACTGCTACACTGTGCGGCTTGTGTCCACTGGCCTTGTCCAAGGCCATTCAGAAGTAAAATGGCCATGAGTGGAACCCAGGCAGTCTGGCACTCCAAACCCCTTTGCCTCGGCGCTGCTTTGCCATTAGACAAAACAACCCAGAGGCTGGCATCTAATCAGTCTGGCTGGTTGAGATGACCACATGATAAAAGGACATAGCTTTTGAAAATATATATATATATATATGTCTTCCTCACCTTTCACGGCAGACACAAGACACTGGACGGCCAGTTGTTCTCCAGACGATCTGACCATTGGTGACCTTGGTGTTCACCTCCACAGGTGGTATTTCCAACCCAGTGAGTCAGTCCCCCTCCCGGTAACTATTAGGCTAATGTTACTTCGCTATCCCTCCCTCCCTCGGTTGCCTCCAAACCTCTTTCACACTGCTCATCTTAACATCCCTTTGGGGAGTGAAGGGCCAGTCACACCAAGCTGAGGAAGGGAAAGGAAGGACACACCAGGTTACTTCTACCCAGGCAAGTCCTAGTCATTGGCAGGGAGCCGCTAGCCTGTTCCAGGTCCCAGAGAACATACCACAGTCCCTCGCCCTTGAGATGGGGCAGCCAGAAAGTGCAAAGGGGGAGTTTAAGTCATGTCGGTGGAACCAGCTCAGAGGCAGGGACGTCAGACAGAATTATTATTGCTGTTTTTCCTGGCAGGGCCATTTCCCGAATTGAAATGTCAGAGGCACGGGTTCTATATGCCTGCTCCAGCTCTTTCTCTGTGTGCATTTGACCCCCATCTGCATATAACGGCCGGGTTGGGTGGTGGTCAGGGTATATTCTTATCCGCGGGTCTCCTCTTTTGCTCATTGTGAGTTTTCCTCTGTTCACAAGGAATACAAAACTGACACATTTAGGAACACGGAGCCCAGGTCGTAGGGGAGGGGCTCTCAAACTTCTCTTTTGTCTTTACACTAAAGGGAGGAAGGGAGCGTAAAGAGGTAAACCAGATGTCTAACAACAGCACAGACAGTCGAATGAGGAGAAATGTCTCTGGGGGACGTCACAGCAAGGAAGTCAAGACAGGGTGATGTCAGCTCAAGCCTCCTTCCCCCGACTCTGGGAGAAAGATCGTATAAGCCCACCCAGCACTGATAGGCACACACAGCCTTCTCGCCGTGGCTTTCCTGGAGTGGCTGTTTCCCCCTTCGGAAGGCTCGCGCGTGGTACCAAACGAAAGGAATCCAGGAGACCCCACCCACCCACCCCCCGCAAGGTTCCTCCTGTTTGCTGATTCCCAAACTGCCCTTTGGTTGCGGGGAGCCATAAAGAGGAAGGACGTGGAATTATTCTTCCGGCTAGAAACGCCTGGTCAGGGCAAGCATTCTGGTCTCGGCGGGCGGGGGGGGGGGGGGGGGGTCGTTCCCTGGCCGGAACCAGCGGCCAGACTTAACACAGGAGCTTGCTTCCACAACCACGTGTCACCTTCATTTCAGATCTGGGCAGGCACAGCAGGGCCACCTGAGGGAAGGAGGGAAGGAGGGCCACCTGAGGAAGGCAGCTCTAGGGCTGGAATGCATGGTGGCCCCCTGCCAAGAGCATCCACATCTAGGCCCTGGGGAACTGCTGAGGCCCCACAGTGGTTGAAATGCCGCAAGGAGGCCAGCGCTCCCAGAGACACATCTCCCACAGGACATTTCTGTATTGCTTAGCGTAGCTCTGCCCCATCTTGCATCTCCTCTCACCCCGGGCCCAGCCCCATCCACCCACCCAACTCGAAGGTGCTCCCAGTGACCTCTGTCCCAGGGAGCAGAGGATGGTGCTAAGAATAGTACCAGTCATGGGAAGGGGGAGTTCACAGACTCAATGTGACTCACAATGGTGTCCCTGTCTGGGGCCCCCAAGGCAGTCAACGGCGTCCTTCACCATGCTGCCCTGGGGTGTCACACATCAGGAATCCGGTGGCATCACTGGGAAACTATGCTTCTCAAGTAGAGACTCTCAGCCACAACAACAGAGGGGTCCCTGTTAGAAGGGAGGCTCTCGGCAAAGAAGTGCAGGAGGGAGGGCCCCACACACGCTCTCGCTGGGCCTGCACACCCCCCAGCTCCCTCGCTGGCTGCAGCAGGGGGATTTCCTCAGTTCCTCACACTGCTTTGTTCTTCTCAGCTTCTGGGCCAGAGGAAGGTACAACAGTGACAGTCCTGATGTGAAGAATGTGATACGATCTTCGAAGCAGAGGTATCAGGTGGGGACCCTCAAGGCTTACTTCAAATCCAAGGCGCCAATCTACAATTTTTTGAGGTACAGCTTCGAGTAAATTCCTACTCATTCTGGTGATGTGTTAAGTCCCTTCTCCTTGTCTAGG